CCTCCAAGGCCGGCGAGTGGGAGAAGCTGCCCAGAGGCCACCCCCCCCCTCCTCCTCCCCCGCCCGTGGGTTCTCCTGCCCTCACGTTGGAGCGGCCACCCACAGGCCCACCGCCCCCCTCCTGACCCACCCACCGAGACAAGCGAGCCAGGAAGGGGCTGGGGAGCCCTTTAAAGCCCTCCCTGTTGGTTCTCCTGTGACATGATTGAGGTTTACAAGATTATGCCTGGGATAGAGCAGGTAGAGAAAGAGGTACTTTTCTCCCTTTCTCACAATACAAGAACTCGTGGGCACTCCATGAAATTGCTGAGCGGTCGGGTTAGAACGGATAAGAGGAACTCCTTCTTCACCCAAAGAGTGATTGACACATGGAATTCACAGCCACAGGAGGTGGCGGCGACTACAAGCATGGACGGCTTCAAGAGGGAATTAGATAAGCATATGGAGCAGAGGCCCATCAGTGGCTATGAGCCACAAGGTATAGATAGGGGCTCTGGGGCAAGGGATGCTCTGTCTTCTTGGTGCTTGGGGAGGGGAGCCAACAGTGGGAGGGCTTCTAATGTCCTGGCCCCACTGCTGGACCTCCTGATGGCACCTGGTATTTTTGGCCACTGTGTGACAGAGTGTTGGACTGGATGGGCCTTTGGCCTGATCCAACATTGGCGTCTCTTATGTTATGTTCCTGCTGGAGAAACCAGCCACAGGCCCCCCTCCCCCTCCTGGCTCACCCCCCCACGCTCACCCGGGAACGAATCCTACGGCCCATTGCATTCCTCTCTACAGCGGGCCTTTATCCTAGTATGTAAAATAAAAGCAGGGTTCTGTGTTACCTCTGAATCAAGCCCCTGGCTCTCACTGAGTCTCACCGTGGTCACCCTGCTTTTAAACCCCTCCCCCCAGGCTCTGATCCTCCTGTCTACCCTAGGGTGACCAATCCTCCAGACTTTGCTTGCACACAAACCTTGGATGCATGCTGGCCAACCGGGACGTGGGGGCCGCGGCGGGACTTCATCGCGAAGCGCATGATCTGCCTCTTGACGAAGATGAAGAGCAGCACAAAGACCTGGAAAAGGAAGCCAGGAAAGAGGCAGGGTTAATCTCTGGGGAAGCCGAAATAGTCTTCAAGACCCTGCCCCCCCCCCAACATAAAGACACGGTCTATGCACGCAGCTAAGAGCATGAGCCAGCAAAGTGAGGCTGCGGCACAGAAGGCCAATACTGCTTGGGGCTTATATCAATCACTTTCCAAGATCTCCAACAGTCAATCTGAAGCCTTGCTGGGCAACAGCCTTTTCTGGCCCTGCCCACTTCCTAAAAACACTTGGTGGGCGTCATAAAAACTGCTGACGGGCACCATGAGTCTCAGTGGGTAAAGGCAGTCTACAGATCAGTCCAATCAACAAACAAATCGGAATAGGAATATGTGGATGTTATTTTTGTTGAACTATACCAAGCCAGACCTAAACAGAAGACCCACACAAAAGGTTAACATGAGATAAGCCAATGTTCGATCAGGCCAGTGGCCCATCTAGTCCAACGCTCTGTGGCCAAAACACAGGTGCCATCAGGAGGTCCACCAACGAGGCCAGAACTCCAGAAGCCCTCCCACTATTGCTCCCCAAGCACCAAGAAGACAGAGCATCACTGCCCCAGACAGAAGCTTCCATCTATACCAGGGGTGTCAAACATGCGGCCCGGGGGCTGCATGAGGCCCCCGGAGGGCTTCTATCAGGCCCGCAGTGGAACTGGCTGTCTTCTGCGTCTTCTTCCAGTTCTGCTGCTGCTGCTGCGTCATCGTAGGTTTGCAGCTTACAGACACACACCTGAACTGCATACTCAAGATTGCAACAGAACAGACATTTAGATGCAATAATTCAGAGCTAGAGGTGTCAGTTATCAGACACTGTTAAATAAACAAAATATTGCAAGAGTGCTGTATGTTTTTGTTTTAAGTAAAAAAAAAAACCCCTTTGTGTTTGTGTCCTTTATAAAGTGTATATCTCTGCTACCTTGCATTACATTTCATGATACACATCGCCCGGCCCAACAAGGTCTCATTTATGTCAGATCTGGCCCCCATAACTAATGAGTTCGACACCCCTGATCTATACCTTGTGGCTAAGAGCCACTGATGGACCTCTGCTCCATATGCTTATCCAATCTCCTCTTAAAGCTGTCCATGCTTGTAGTTGCCACCCCTCCTGCAGCAGTGAATTCCATGTGTTAATGACATTTTGGGTGAAGAAGGACTTCCTCTGATCTTTGTTTCATGGAGTGCCCAAGAGTTCTTGTATTGTGAGAGAGAAGTATTTCTTTTCTCTGTCTTCTCAATCCCATGCAAAATTTTGTAAACCTCTATCATGTCACCCTGCAAAGCACGCCAACATTGCAAAGTTCTAACTGAAATGAGTGTGTGTTCCCTAAGGGAGGGCAGATAGGATTAAGCCAGTGCTCAGCTCTTGTGGCCCTTTCTTATATGCCCAGGGTAATGCCAATCACTACTTTGGGGTCAGGAAGGAATTTTTGCCCAGGGATCCCGGAGGTATTTTGCCTTCCTCTGGGCATGGAGCAGGGAGTCGCTGGGGGAGGTAGTTGTGAATGTCCTGCATTGTGCAGGGGGGGTTGGACTAGGTGACCCTCGGGGTTCCTTTCAGCTATCTTTTTCTATTCCAGCTGGCCAATCTGACCAGCAGCAGCTCTCCACGTCCCTGACAGAGAAAGGTCATTCCCGGGTACGTTCTGTGAATCAAACCTGGGAATTTTTTCATGCAAAACCATGCACTCCACCTTTGCCCTAAGGCGGCAGTGGCAGCAGCAGGAGGAGGAGGAGGATATTGGATTTATACCCCGCCCTTCACTCGGCATATCAGAGCAGCTTACAATCTCCTTTCCCTCCCCACAACAGACACCCTGTGAGGCAGGTGGGGCTGAGAAAGCCCTTTCCAGAACTGTCCTTGAGAGAACAGCTCTGACAGAACGGTGGCTTGCCCAAGGTCATCCAGCAGCTGCAAGTGGAGGAATGGGGAATCAAACCCGGTTCTCCCAGATTAGAGTACGTGCTCTTAACCACTACACCAGACTGGCTCTCTTAAGAAAGTACAGCGAGGCATACAGAGTCCTCAGCCTACTGCGTGCTCACTATGAACTAAGCTCTGATGAGTCCAGAAGGAGAAGAGTGGGTTTTTATACCCTGCTTTTCTCTACCTCTGGAGCTGCGGTGGCTCAAGTGGTTAAGACGCTGAACTGCAGGCTGTGGAAGGTCGGTAGTTCAGCAGCTCGAGACCCGAGTGTGCTGCATGACAGAGTGAGCTCCCGTCTCTAGTTCCAGCTCCTGCCAACCTAGCAGTTCAAAAGCAAGAAATTGCAAGTAGATAAATAGGTACCACTTCGGTGGGAAGGTAACAGCGTTCCGTGCGCCTTGGTGTTTAGTCATGCCGGCCACATGACCACGGAAATGTCTTCGGACAGCGCTGGCTCTTCGGCTTTGAAACGGAGATGAGCACCGCAACCCTAGAGTCGGACTCGACTGACTTTTGAGCAAGGGAACCTTTACCTTTCTATACCTTAAGGAGTCTCAAAGCAACTTCCCTTCCTCTCTCCACAACAGGCCCCTTGTGAGGTAGGTGGGGCTGAGAGAGTTCTGAGAGAACTGTGACTGGCCCACGGTCACCCAGCAGGCTTCACATGGAGGAGTGGGGGAATCAAACCCAGTTCTCCAGATCAGAGTCCTCCACTCTTAACCACGACACCACACTGGCTTTCAGTCCAGTGGGTCTTATCCTCTGATAGGGATAAGCACAAGCATTAGCCTTAGTTTAAAAAAAACAAAACGACCCTTGAACACAGGTGAATGTGGTTCTGAGGGCAAGTGTTTTGTAGAAGGACTTGGGCGGGCCGATCCATCCAGGTGCTTGGATGCAGCCCAGTGCTACACCTGTACAAACACAAAAAATAGTCTTACTTTAAAGAGGGTGAGATTGCAGCAGGATACCTATTGAGGAATAAGCCCTAGCAAATTCAATAGAACTGGATTACAGTTTTGGTGCTAACCTTGAAGGCCCTAAATGGTCTGGGGCCAATGTATCTACGGGACCACCTCTCATTACACTCTGGGAAGAAGAACCTTCTGGTGATCCCTAGCCCGAAAGACATCCAGCTGTCCTCCACCAGAGCCAGGGCTTTTTTGTCCCTGGTGGAACTCTCTGCCAAATGACATCCGTGTCCTGCGGGACCTAGTGCAGTTCTGCAGGGCCCGTAAGGCAGAGATGTTCCGCCAGGCCTAAGGTGGAGGCTTTGCTAGTTTAGCTTTTGGGATGAGACAAGAACAACTTAGCCTAAGCCATTCAAGTCAGAGAGACAGAGAGAGCCAGTTTGGTGTGGTGCTTCCTCACTCCTCCACATGCAGCTGCTGGTGTGACCTTGGGCTAGTCGCAAGTTCTCTCAGAGCTGTTCTCTCGAGGACAATCCTCGAGAGAGAGCTCTCTCAGCCCCCACCTGCCTCACAGGGTGTCTGTTGTGGGGAGGGGGAGGGAAAGGGGATTGTAAGCTGCTCTGAGACTCCTTCGGGGAGTGAAGGGCGGGGTATAAATCCAATCTCTTCTTCTTCTTCAGGGCAGGCGGCAGAAAGCCCCATCAAGGCACAGCCAACTTATGACAACCACACAGGATATTCAAGGGACGAGTTGTTCAGAGGTGGCCTGCCATTGGTGGCCTCCCATCAAGTACTAGCCAGGCCCCGCTGTGCTTTAGGGCATGTTCAGATTATCTATGTACACTACTGTTTACAGCCCTTCTTTCTCACTGAGGCTCAAGGCGGACTACACAGCGTAAGGGAAGGAGGAGGAAGAGGAGATTGGATTTATACCCCGCCCTTCACTACCCAAAGGTGTCTCAGAGCGGCTTACAAACTCCTTTCCCTCCCCCTCCCCACAACAGACACCCCGTGAGGTAGGCGGGGCTGAGAGAGCTCTTGACAGAAACGGCTCTTTTTTCAAGAACAGCTCTTATCAGAACTATGGCTTGCCCAAGGTCATCCAGCAGGTGCAAGTGGAGGAGTGGGGAATCCAACCCGGTTCTCCCAGCTTAGAGTCCGCGCACTTAACCACTACACCAAACTGACCCTCAGATGAACTCTCCGATGAGCAACCCGATAGGACTGAGATCGCGCCAATCTGAAACAAGCGGATGTGTCCACGCATGCATGAGTACAAACACACGTGTGGATACATGTATGACAGGTCCACGTGTGCACGCGGAGGTATAAACTCGGAGCCACACTGCGGGATCGCGAAGAATACGGCCTTCCAAATACATGACAGGGAGGAGAGGGTGGCCTGGGTGGGCGCCATCTGCACAGCCGCCTCCTCCTCCTTTGGAGCATCCCCACCCACCACCAGTGGAACCATTGCCGCCCCACGCCCACCCGCAGCTGGGCAAAGGCGGGGCGGAGAGACACACCGAGGTCTCCCTTCCCCGGTCCTGCCTGCCTGGCCGCCCTCCTTCCCACGGCGCCACCACCAGGCAGGCTCCGCCGCCCCCCGCGTGTCCTCACCAGGCTCCCGTAGGCCATGACCAGCACCACGTTCACCCCAGAGAGCCACTTGCTTTCGGACGCCGCCATCCCCGGCGCCTGGCCCAGCCGCCCAGAGGGCCACACAACATGGCGGCCCCCCGAAGCCGGACTGCTCCCTCGTCACGTGACGCCACGGCGAGGAGAGGCGCCTCCTGTCAGCTGACCGGAAGCGAGGGAACGAGGAGAAAAGAATGAGAAGCGGTCAATGGTGGGAGGTGGCGCCACGTGATCCCGATACTGGCGGGGTGCAGTCACGTGATTGGAGGACGCGGGTTGGGACAGCCGCAGTCCATGTGGTTTTAGCGTCGCTTCCGGTTTCCGATCGAAGGTGGCGGCGCGTCGGGGCAGCTCCAGGTAACAAAAATAACTCCGCCTTGACTACGGTGCTGTTTGTATTCACTGATGTCTTCGTGTGTCTTGCAGGAGCATTCCACAGACATAAAAGAAGAATAATCGAAACGCAGAGTTGGAAGGGGCCTCCAGGGTCATCTGTCCAACCCCCTTGCAGAATGCACAGTTATTCTCTATTTATTTATTAAATTAGGTTCGCTAGGCCGCCCTTCTTTCAAGTAGGGCTCAGGGCGGCTTACAACAAAATAACATACCCATGGGCTAAATTAATGTAACATTTATTAGAAGTTTCTTTAGTGTAGTTTCATAAGTCAAATTATTTACTTTTATGAATGCATATCTCAAACAAATAAAAGACGGGAACTGATAGAGACAGAAAGAGGGAGGGTGGACGCGGCGGTGGGAGGAGACCGAGGGGCTTTTATGAATGCATATCTCAAACAAATAAAAGACGGGAACTGATAGAGACAGAAAGAGGGAGGGTGGACGCGGCGGTGGGAGGAGACCGAGGGGCTTTTATGAATGCATATCTCAAACAAATAAAAGACGGGAACTGATAGAGACAGAAAGAGGGTTTGGACACACTTCTTATACCCAGAACTAAACTTTTTTTGTTGAGTCGCCGGACTCCCAACTCAGCACCTTTAGGCCTACACGGCCACTCGCCTGAATCTACCTTCATACACAGAGAACACCCCCCCGCGACCCCCCCCTTAGGTTTCCGCCCCTCCTCCGCCACCCTTCGAATGGAACCCGGAAATGAGCATCTCCTCATTCCCCCCCATCCCTAACGCTGCGACCGCCGACGTAAGTCACGTGCGCCTTTCGACGGCGACCACCTTGGCCGTTCCGATTCGAGAGCGACAAAGCAGCGTCGGCGGCGAAAGCCCTCTCGGGCGCTCCCCTTCGGGCACAGGAACGGGGGGCGTGGCCTCGCACCCTTCTCACGTGACGCGGACGCGCCGAAGCGCCCCTCGGTCTCCTCCCACCGCCGCGTCCACCCTCCCGCGGCCGCCGCCGCCGTCACGTGTCCAGGAGGGGGCGGTCGCGGCCGCGCTGGGTTTAGTTGTCAGTGTGTGTGGTGGCGGCGGCGGTGGTGGTGGAGACTCAGGTAAAGTTGTGCGGCTGCCCCCGGTAATAGCGCGCGGGCCCTTTAAGCGCCGGCCCCGCCCCTCCGGCTCGCGCGCTCCGTCCCCCCCCCCCAAAAAATCTCCCTTCTCTCTCCCCCCCCCCTTTTTATTTTCCTTTTTTTTTCTTGGGGGATTTT